TCGTTTCAGACTTAGGGTTGACCCTGAGCGAGGGCCGGGTAAATGACCTTGGAGGGCCGTATCCGGCCCCAGGGCCTTAGTTTGAGGACCCCTGTTCTATGAAATGCTATTTCCCCCACTTTGCCTCTGAGTATGGTGGAAGCTCCTTCCTTGGAGGCTTTGAAAGAGAGGCTGAATGGCCATCTGTCGGGGGTACTTTGTCCTTTTTCTGCATGGCAGGGGTTTGGACTGGATGGCCTATGTGGTCTCTTCCATGATTCTTCTATGATTCTACGAAATGCTACTTCCCCCACAGGCCACTTCTTCTACTCCTACCACATCAGCTCTCCATTCTATTTTTAAACTTTCAAGAGTGGTGCTGAAGAAATCATCCAACTGACTAACAATATTATGAGTTGTCTTGGGGGTATGTTTACTGCTGGCTATTTAGTGCTATCTATATTAGTCTACATGCAAAATGCTATAGAAACATGGGAGCTGTAATTTGTCAAGGCATGTGCGCTACTTGGAAGAGAAGGCAAAAGACCTTATAAAATTCCTACAATCCCATAATACTGAGCCACAAAAGTTAATGTGATCTCAATCAAACCGCATTAATTCTACAGTGTACATGTACCTTGAGTTCTAATTAGATATACAGGACCACTTCCTAAAAGTGTGAGTTTTGTAAGAAGTCATCTGGTCAATCTAATTTCCCAGTTTCCAATAGACCTCACAACCTCTGAGGATGCCTGCCATAGAGGCAGGCGAAACGTCAGAAGAGAATGCTTCTGGAACATGGCCATACAACCCGAAACAGTTACAACAATCCAATTCATGTAATGTTTGTGGAGAGATGTCTTCTCCTTCTCTTTTGTGGCTCCCTGACTCTGGAATGCATTACCCGGTGAGATTAGGCAAGCTCCCACCCTAGAAACCTTTAAGAAGAACCTGAAAGAACCTCAAAACTTGGCTGTTCCGTCGTGCCTTTGGAGAGTGATCTCACATCTCCGTTTGTTGCTCTCCTCATTACGTTTGTCCCCATATGGCACTACCTCCTGTCTGTACAAAGGCCTGTCTCCACTACTTTGTCGTTTATGAGTCTCTCCTTTATAAATTTATCTGTTTTATTTTCTATCTCATCCTGAGTTTTTTATCATTGTATTTTAGGAGCCCCCGGTGGCGCAGTGGGTTAAACCCCTGTGCCGGCAGGATTGAAGACTGACAGGTCGCAGGTTCGAATCCGGGGAGAGGCGGATGAGCTCCCTCTATCAGCTCCAGCTCCTTATGTGGGGACATGAGAGAAGCCTTCCACAAGGATGATAAAAACATCAAATCATTCGGGCGTCCTCTGGGCAACGTCCTTGCAGACAGCCAATTCTCTCACACCAGAAGCGACTTGCAGTTTCTCAAGTCGCTCCTGACACGACAAAACAAAATCATTGTATATTGCACATGTGCCCAGCCACTGCGATTCTGTTTGATTTTTCACAGTATTATTTTTGCATTGTTTATTGTTTTTTATGTTTTATTTATTTTATTGTGATGCTTTTATTTGATGTTTTTCATGTTATTTTATTGTAATGCATTTTTAGGCTCAGCCTCATGTAAGCCGCCCCGAGTCCCCTTTGGGGAGATGGTGGTGGGGTATAAAATTTGTTGTTGTTGTTATTGTTATTATTATTATTATTATTATTATTATTATTATTATTATTATTATTATCTGTAACCAGTCTGTTGCTGAACTTGCAGAGAACTTGTTCATATTGTTATGAGATGAATGGACGATAAGGGTCTCAATTTGTACATTACAGATCTGAGTACTGGAACAGGACATATTCCTGAGTTTTAGGGGAAAGGATGCTCTACAATAAGTGTGAGTGGCAAAGCTAATTTAAATGTCCAGAATTTTCTGAGGTAATTGTCACACTGTGTGACTGAGAATACCTTTCTGTGAGATGACTGTGCTAGACATAATTATTTTTGAACACTAGCCAAGAAGTTATTTGTTGTGGTGTGCCTTCCAGTGATTTCTGACTCAGGGCGGCCCTATCCTACCCTATGATTTTATGAGCTGCTCTCACAGTCAGGAAGTTCTTCCTGATGTCCAGGTAGGGAGGTATATATTGGAAGAACTTCCTGAATGTGAGAGCGGTTCAGAAGTATGTATCTATACCCCTATATAGAGTGGGAAGTTAATAAAAAATAATACAAATAAGAAACACAATAAGGGAGAACCATTGGGTGTCCCATTAAAGCTGGCATGGGCAAACTTCGTCCCTCTGGGTGTTTTGGACTCCCAACTCCCACAATTCCTAACAGCCTTCCGACTGTTAGAGTGGGGAGTGAGAGCGGGGAGAGTGAAGGAAGGATGGAAAGGAGGGGACACTTAGGGTAAGGGTTAGGGCAAGGTTTAGGGTTTGGGTTAGGGTTATGGTAAGGGATAGGGTTTAGGGTTAGGGTATGGCTTAGGGTTTGGGTCAGAGGGTTTGGGTTACGGTAAGGGTATGGTTTAGGGCAGGGGTCCACAAACTTTTTAAACAGAGGGCCAGGTCACAGTCCCTCAAACTGTTGGGGCCGGATTATAATTTTTTAAAAATGAATGAATTCCTATGCACACTGCACATATCTTATTTGTAGTGCAAAAACACTTTAAAAATACAATAATTAAAATGAAGAACAATTTTAACAAATATAAACTTATTAGTATTTCAATGGGAAGTGTGGGCCTGCTTTTGGCTGATGAGATAGGATTGTTGTTGTAGTTGTTTGCTTTCAAGTCATTCCAGTTTAGGTTGACCCTGAGCAAGGGCCGGGTAAATGACCTTGGAGGGCCATAACCAGCCCCCGGGCTTTAGTTTGAGGACCCCTGGTTTAGGGTTTGGGTTAGGGTTTGGGTAAGAGTTAGGGTTTGGGTTACGGTAAGAGTATGGTTTAGGGTTAGGGTATGGTTTAGGGTTTGGGTTAGCATAAGGATTGGGGTTAAGGTTTGGGTTACAGTAAGGGTTAGGGGTTACAGTTAGGGTATAGTTTAGGGTTAGGGTATGGTTTAGGGCAGAGGTCCTCAAACTAAGGCCCTGGGGCCGAATAGGGACCTCCAAGGTCATTTACCCGGCCCTCACTCAGGGTCAACCTAAGTCTGAAATGACTTGAAAGCACACAACAACAACAACAACAACAACAATCCTATCTCATCAGCCAAAAGCAGGCCCACACTTCCCATTGAAATACTAATAAGTTTATATTTGTTAAAATTGTTCTTCATTTTAATTATTGTATTGTTTTAAGTGTTTTTTCACTACAAATAAGATATGTGCAGTGTGCATAGGAATTCATTCATTTTTTTTCAAATTATAATCCAGCCCTCCAATAGTTTGAGGGACTGTGACCTGGCCCTCTGTTTAAAAAGTTTGAGGACCTCTGGTTTAGGGTTTCGGTTAGAGTTTGGGTAAGAGTTAGGGTTTGGGTTATGGTAAGGGTATGGTTTAGGGCTAGGGTATGAATGACGAACGCTGAGCATGAGGTTAGTTTTACTGATTGTGTTATATATTGATTGTTTTAACTGTTATAATTGTTTTAATTGCTGTTTTATACGTATGTGTATTATGTGTAGGCATCGAATTGTGCCTTTTGTAAGCCGCCCTGAGTCCCCCCTCGGGGATTGAGAAGGGCAGGGTAGAAGTACTCGAAATAAATAAATAATAAATAATAGGGTATGGTTTAGGGTTTGGGTTAGCGTAAGGGTTGGGGTTAGGGTTTGGGTTCCAGTAAGGGTTAGGAGTTACGGTTAGGGTATAGTTTAGGGTTAGGGTAAGGTTTAGGGTTTGAGTAAGGGTTAGGATAAAGGTTGGGGTTTCACCATTTAAAAACTCTTACATTCCTTCTATATTATCTATCTCTGGCCTGGCTTACATTAGCTAAGTCTCTCTTGCGCAAACAGTGCTCCCAAAGGAGCGATGCGGCATCTCTGTAATGCTCGGAGCTTCCAGACCCAGCTATCATACTATTACCTTACTTACTAGTATTGAAGTCTCATCCAGTCCTCCTCTTTGCTAATTATATTATTATATTATATTATTATATTTATTTATTTATTTACTTTACTTGTATACCGCAGTTTCTCAGCCTAACAGGCGACTCAACGCGGTTTACAACAAGGATAAAAATCAAACAGTGATATACAATTTAAAACCCTAATAACATGGTATACAATATTGACACAACAATAACAACCCAATACATCTCATAACTAGAGTCGTGATCCAATTCGTCGTCCATTTTTCCATTCCTGTATCATCACATTCATTGCACTGTTGATCCGAATGCCCGTTCAAACATCCAAGTTTTTAATCTTCTTCAAAATGCCATTAGCGAGGGGGCTGATCTAACCTCCATGGGAAGGGCGTTCCATATTATTATTAACTTTATTTATACCCCGCTAACATCTCCCGAAGGACTCGGTGTGGCTTACAAAAGGCCAAGGCCCTCAATAAAACAACAGCATAACAAATACAACAATAAAACTCATAAAGCAAAACAAAAAAATTAAAGCAATAAACATTAAAAACAATAACACCACGGCGCAATTAAAACTAAGGCCGGGCCAAATGTAATGAATATAATTTAAAAGTGCTGGACATGACAGGTGAAATGTATAGGTTTTTAGAGGTAGGTGCAGTTAAACCCTTGTGCCGGCAGGACTGAAGACTGACAGGTCGCAGGTTTGAATCCAGGGAGAGCGTGGATGAGCTCCCTCTACCAGCTCCAGCTGCTCATATGGGGACATGAGAGAAGCCTCCCACAAGGATGATAAAACATCAAAATTTCCAGGCAGACGGCCAGTTCTCTCACACCAGAAGCGACTTGGAGTTTCTGGTGTGGACCAAAAACAACCTTGTGAAGTTTGCCCATGCCTGTATGCAAGGTGGTGTACCAGGGGGTCCCTGATCCTGGATAATGGCAAGGCATCTTCCTGGTCTGATTGAGTGGCACTCTCTGCGGGCTTCCCAGGTCTTCCTTACCTGCTGTGATGACAGCGAGGGCGACGAGGGTGGGGAGCGCAGGAGCCATGGCGATCGAGGCGGGAGAAGCAGAAGCAGGAGGAGGAGGAGGAGGAAGAGGAGAGCGCCGCCGCTCTGGGGCTTCCGAATGCGCCGCCCGGTGCCTTTTCCCTCCTTGGCTCGCGCCGCCCGGCTCTCACGCGCTCCCTCCTCCTCCTCCTCGTTCGCGCTGCTCCAGGGCGCCCCCTGCTGGGCGGCAAGCGCGCGCTCGTTCCTTCTCAACTTTTCCTCGACGGGAAAGAAGGCCGGCCGCTTTCAAGGGAGAGAAAGCAGCCTTCCCTCAGGCAAAACCTCTTTCAGGAGCCGCTGGGGACTCCCTTCACACCTTCTTGTCCGTTTGGAGGAGTTCCCCGTTTTAAAACCTCATAAAGTACCATATTCCCCCCTGTCACTCCTGACGTGCCCCCCTCCCCTCTTTCCCGCCCTCTCTCTCTCTGCTCCCCGCCTTCCGGCCTCAAGTGCGCATGCGCGCAGGTGGTTCCTCTCCTCATCGCCTAGGTGTCTGCTTGCCGTGCCCAGGTTTGGCTTTGGCAAACCTAGTGGCGCAATGGGTGAAACCAGGCACCATCAAAACTGCTGTTTGGGCCTCCAACTCCCAGAAGCCCCAACGAGCTTGTCAGGAATTGTGGGAGTTGAAGAGAGATATTGACGAGCTGGAATGTGTCCAGAGGAGGGCAACCAAAATGATCAAGGGCCCTATGAGGAGCGGCTTAAAG